TAGTGAGTGTGAAAGCATCATTTGACATTCTTTGATTGTGTAATTTGTGTAATTTTGGTGGTGATCAAGAATTGTAGAAGTGATAACTCTGCAATTAAATCATCTAGTGAACAACATAAAATGCCAACAACCACACAAAACTGACAGTTTGGGTGGAGTTGTCCTCCAAGCCTTTGTGCAAGTTTGAAGACGTGTAGCTCAATTTCATGTCTTATTGTGCCAATGTCCACATAATAAAGATTACTGGTAATGAAAATAACCTTTGTGAATTTTAAACTAGATCAGCACTCTAAGGATCCACCAGAAGGACCTCTACTGTGCAATGACGTCAAAGAAAACAGCCCCGAAGACCTGGCCATGAACAAGTCTCACCAAGAAGATGATAAGGGGAAGTCAACATTCCTGACTAAAAGTAACTCAAACCCGTCCACTCCAGGTATTCTACTAAAACCTAATTTTCACTCTGTTTATTGCTGATAAAGAAGGCCAGATACTATAATGGAAGCCGTTATAGTGTAAGACTAAAGGATTAATAAAAGAAATGCAGACATGAATGGATTCACTTGCTTCACTTACCATGGAGGATGCTGGATACATTAGAAATCTCTTGTGGAAGCTATTATCTGTCTGTCTTCACATGGTTTTGATTGTCATGTAGTACCCCTCATGGAACATATCAACCACCCCACCATCATCATGGAAGACATGTTTGCAGTAATCTGCAGCTAAACTCCTCCTTGAAATTTTCAGATGTGAGGAAGTACACTTAAGTGAAGATGTTTATATGTGTCCATGAAAGTTTCCCACTTATATTTAGATTTTCCCTTACCAGCACCCGTGTCATTGCTCAAAATGGTCAATTTCTGTGGCTTTCTGTGTTCTGCTGAGAGCTTTGGTCCAATCCACTCTTTTTTGTCTAGGATTGCAGGCAACAATAGGTGAGAAATGAGGGACGTCTGTTGGTCACTACCCTTTTTATCGCCATGTTGGGCTTTACTGTAAACCTGAAGATACAATAGCTATATAGTTAGTAAAAAATAGATATGCAGCAAACTTCTTAAAGGGATTTAGTTACTATTTTCTTATACTCTCCATTGTTCATTGAACATATTGCTGATATTGATTTTTTCCAGTAACTTTATTTCCTTTTAATAAATGTATGGAGGCTGCTATGTAGATCCGATTTATACACATAAACAGCACCTTCTTATAATTTACTGTAACACCGTCTGACTTTGCCATTACTGGAATTTGAGCAATACAAAGTAAAGTAGAACCTTTACTTATCCTAAAGCAATGTTATAAACTTTACCCTTTGATGTTTGAAGTGACAGAAGATCAATTTAAGTAAGTAGTACAGTAGAACTGACTTTTCCAACAGGGCTGAAGTAACTGAGTGTGTGAATTGGGAAATTGCAAATAAACAGAGTTGATTTTAACAGGGCGATTTGGGATTCTTGCAGCAAGAACCTACGGCTTCCTGCGGCAGGAATCCCAGGTGTCCTGTTTAGATGTGATGATGTGATTGTTGTACCCCATCAAGTTAATGACCGCAGACGCATCTGTAAGCCGCAGATATGACTACATGCGGTTTGGAACAGAGCACTGTCCCTGGATGCATTAATTCTGTGACCAGGGATGGAGATCTATTTCAAATAGATTCATATATGATTGCATGCGGCCTGCTTCTTACAGAAGCGCCCACTTTTACCTGGACATTAACTTGAACGAGCACAGTGGCCACATCTAAAAGGTGACCCCTGACATTCCTGCCGCAAGAATCCCATATCGCCCTGTGTGAATGGGGTCTTACTTTAGTTCTTTCAATCATGGAGGCTCCTGCCAAGCGCAAAAATGCCAGAACACCCAGTGTGAACAAGGCCCTATGGCTGGAGAGTAAAGGGCAGGGCCGGATTTCCCACAAGGCCGCCAAGACCTTGTGGCAGCAGGGAGTAGAGGGGCAGCAGGGCTGTGGAATTCCTATCTCCCGATGCCCCGGACATGCAGGTCCGGGCGGGTAGCTGTTTTCTACATTTAGCCCTGCTTTGGGCAAGCAGAGCTAAATGTACAGCGGGGAAGCCACCGTTTGTTTTGTACAAGTGATCTTGGCGATGAGATCACTTGTATGCAGCCTGCAGGTCTGCTATTCTACATGGGGGCAGGGGGTGTGGCGTGTAGGGGGCACATTGGAACCTGGCCTTAGGGCAGCAGAGAGAGTATATCCGACCCTGATGGGCACCACTACAGCCAATAATCCAAGCTTAAGGAGCTAACTAGACTTGTGCGCCGTCAAAAAATGTGTTCCGTTATTTGGCGGGTAGGGGGGCGCATTGAGGACACTGGCCTTGGGGCAGCAGAGAGAGTAAATCCGGCCCTGGTAAAGGGCTAGATGTTACTACACATCCTCCAGCCAGAAAATGAGGCAGGCTCTATCTGACTTGCTGCAGTTTCTAATGTACATTGTGAGACGCTCACTGTGTGAAGTAAAATCAGAGCAATCAATTTTAGTACAGAAGAGGAGCCACAATTGTGCAAACGTGAAGGTAAAGCAGGAGTTTAGCTGCAAGCATTCAAGGATATTTCAGTTGCCTAATATTGATAATTCTATGCTATGGTTCGGTACAACATAAAAAGTGCTATTTTCTGTTTTTTAATTTCCTCTTCCAGGCATTTCCCTGTCCTTGCTTCCTCTAAAGACCTACAGTTCTCCCGCTTTGTCTGCCTTCTACAAGCAGAACTTCTCCTGGGACTCCATACACTCAGCATACAGCTTCAAGCACATCCCATCCCATCTACACCCCTCCATGCTGCAGCACTCCATAAACTTGTACAATAGTTCCTCTACGGCTGACTCAGTTTATGATCACCCTCTTAATTACAGCATGGGGTACACTTCAGCCATGGAAACCTATCACTGTGTTAAGTGCAGCAAAGTAAGTTTGGGATCAATGGTTTGTTTTTTTAAAGATGGTGGCAAATGGCTCTGCATGGGGAAAACGTGGGTTCATTTCTGGTGCACTGATTGGATGTGAAACTGCATAATGAAAACATCATTAGAGTCAAAGGGACAATTCTCATCTCTGTTTTCCCCATGCAGTTCTAGTGCCATTGACTGTAACAGCAAATAATTCAATCAGCTGTATTTGATGTAATTGCAGCATAAATGCACGCGCCTAAGATTAATATTTTGGCTGGATTTTTTTTGTACTGTGTATAGATTTTTAGCCCAATAGAAGTGGATTGTGTCTACTGCCCAGATCTACTTGACAGTGGAAGGGGGCTCTGACCTACATCAAGAATAAAGGGGCCCCAAGTGCCAGAGGGCCTTTGTGCAGCTGCCCAGTCTTCATGGTGTATTCACACTTGAATGATCCATTGCACTGTGGTCCAAGGCATGTGTGGTAACACTCATTGTCTCATTATGATTTGTCTGCCAATACTCCATACCAAACCAAAAACACACATAATGGAAGTACCTTGGAGCTGTGTGAGAGCTTCATCTTATGCTGTCCCTTGGGACAGAATTTTCCCCATTGCTAATTACAGCATTGGCCCCATTCTCAATCTCACTGGGCAATCATTGTAAACATTCCAATACAGAATTTTAGAAGGTTCATGTAACCTGTAGAAAGTAAAACAACCAGAGAAAATATGGAGGCTGCTATATTCATCCATTCCATCTGGAAAGCCTAGCTGCCTGGCTGTTATATTGATCCAATGCATCCAATACTACCTGAGACCCAGACCTGCTCTCTATGTCACCATTGAAGAGATTTGCCCTCACTTCCTGACCTATCAACCACACAGGAAATAAGGAAAATAATTATCTGATAGGGACACTCATAGCAATAAAACATGACTGGTTCTAACTTGGCAGGAATTCCAATTTAAGACTCTCTGTGTACTTTCCTTCAGGTCTTTTCTACGTCCCATGGTCTTGAGGTACATGTGCGAAGATCTCACAGTGGGACCAGGCCATTTGTTTGTGATATTTGTGGAAAGTCATTTGGTCATGCAGTGAGCCTGGAGCAGCACCTGAATGTCCACTCACAGGTGAGGACCTAACTGATCAACTACTGGAGGCTACCAGGTACAATCCCTGGGAATACTGGCATGGCCTAGGTGAGGTGGGCATGGTTTCAGTAGCACTCATGTACATCACATAGCACATCACACATCTCAGACTGCTGTCAATTTCAGCTTTTGATGGAGAATTGCACAGCAGCTCGGAGACCACAAATGAGATAAGTTACTGTAAACCTTTCACAGGAGCTGCCTTTGCTGACTTTCTTCTGAAAATTAGCATTGCCTAGATGTTCTGACCCTCTGGTATTAATACTTTATTGACTTGTTACAAGTTAGGAAAGTCAGAAAAAAAAGTCTGAAGACCTTATCTGCATGGGCTATTGACTGTGAGACCAGAGGGTTGGTATGACAGCCAGGTAGTTAGCATTTGCAGAGTCATTCAGCAACAGCAGCCATGTCTCTGCCAGGAAAGGTTTTATTATTATTATTCAGAATTTATATAGCACCATCAATTTAAGCAGCACTTTACAAAAAAAGGGAGACAATATAGTTACCACACAATTCAATACAGAAGGGTTAGAAGGGCCCTGCTCATGAGAGTTTACAATCTAAAGAGAGGAAAAAGTGATGTAAAACATTAATTCTGAGGGATTAGCTGATGAAGAGAGTAAAAGTTCAGTTGTTGAGTAGAGGTGGAATAGGCTTCCTTGCAGACATGGATTGTCAAGGATTGCCTAAAGCCAGAGTAGTAGATAGCCGGACAGATTGGGGTAGGGAGTTTCCAGAGGATATGAGAAGTTGTGGAGGTCCTAGAGGTGAACATGGGAGGAAGTGACGTGGAGGACTAGACCAGGAGAAGGAAGTCTTTGGAGGAATGGGGAGGACAGATTTGGTGGTATTTTGAGATGAGGTTAGTGATGCTGCAGGGGGTACAGTTTTTGATGGCTTTGTATTTGAGTATTTTCAGTTTTACTTGTTAGGCAAGTGAGAGCCAGAGAAGTGTTTGGCCGAGAGGGGCGGTGGTCTATAAACCTTTAAAGGTTTCAATGAAAGAATGATTGGATAGGGTAATATCTCCCTAACAGAGTCTTTAGTTGTCATGAGAAGTCACCCAACCTCCCAACCTCTATTCAAAATGACTTACCAGTTTTCAGTGACTAACTTCTGACTCTTCCCAGGAAAGGAGCTTCGAGTGCAAAATGTGTGGAAAGACGTTTAAGCGCTCCTCTACCTTGTCTACCCATCTGCTTATCCACTCTGACACGCGGCCCTACCCCTGTCAGTTCTGCGGCAAGCGTTTCCACCAAAAGTCCGACATGAAGAAACATACTTACATTCACACAGGTAAGTGATCACTGAGGAATATCCTCTACTACTATGTTGTGGAAAAATGGTTTTAAAGGTCAACCAAAGGCATCAAGCAAATAGCAATATAACTGATCACCCTGGGTAGAAAGTACTACAACTGTGCCATGTCAGTTTACCCAAATTAAGGGCATATACAATCTCTCAATGAGCATTTCCAGCCAGACTGATTATGGATCCAAAGTGACTTCAGACTCCTTCTGGTTGTCCTCTACAGCACCACTTTCCTGCTGCAAGAGGGCTCGGGGGGCTAACACAACCAACTATTCATTTGATAGTTTATATAGACTCTTGTGGGCTACAGAAAATGTACTCTGCATAGTATACCATGGCCCATTATTGAGTGGTGATCACCGTGAGAGGGGAGTGTTGCTAGAAGACACGGCTTATTGTGACACACATTTTAACATCTTCCCACATTAGCCTACTTTGTGTCTCTTGCCATTTGGTCACATGACATCTTAGAGCTGCGAAGGAAGATGTTGGTAAAGGTCTCACTCTACCAGATGCTATGACTGTAGATCTGAACATGGAGCAGGTGGCTATATAATGCTCACCATTGGTCACTGACTGTAGGTTCCAATCCAATTGATGTCTGAATGGTGAAATATTTCCACTGAAGTGCAACCAAACCAACATATGTTATTAGTACTGGGTTGGAGGAGGGCAAATACCTGCCTGCATCCCATCCCAGTCCTCCCCTGCACTGAAAAATGAGTGCGCTTTGCTAGAATTATACTTTAACTGGTGTATGTACTTAGGATTGAAGTATCCATTAAGATAAATGCTGCCCCTAAGTTCCTAGATGGGTAGAGCTTATAAACATGGGACCAGACACAAGGGAGTAACTGTAGCCATAGCAGACAATGGGCCCAAAAGCAAAGAGTGCTAGAATTATATGGATGTACAGTAAGCTGAGGAGATAGCAATAGCATTCAGCCAAACATTTGGATAAAATTAATGTTTATATCATGCCAAAACCTCTATAGGATTGCTATTAAGCCAAATAGTATTTTATATCTATAGATACATTTCTTTTAAAACAGAGGATTGAAAGGCAGGGGGCTCTTAAATGGTTTTTCTATGGTGCCCCATAACAATTAGTTATGGCCCTGGATTTGCAGAGTGGGTTGACCAGATGGACAGATTAATTGTCGGGATAAAAGTTGGAGGCAGTCAATTGGTTTACTTTCTGTGACCATTGTGTCTATAGTGATAAATTATTATGTTTGACTAGAATGTACACACAGGTAAAAAATATGTTAGTAAGAGAAACTATAGGTGTATATAATAAGTTAATAAGAGAAACTATATATGCTAGGGTGCGGGTACCTTCGGGGCCCTTTCCTGATGTTCGGGAGGAGATTCTGTGACCCTTATGGGACCCTCCTTCTTCTCCCCCCTGTGGGAGGTCTCTCTTCGGGAGAGTCCCCCAACCTAGTACTTGTGGACCTGTTTCGGCAGGGGACAAGGGGAACGGGGTCAGCCGGCCTTCGGATAGGTGGACCAAAGTATTCCTAGCCTCTGTAAGGAGCCTTGCGCCCTGGGGGGTCGGGAAATTGTGGCCCCTTCTTTTCGGAGAAGGACCAAGCACCCTTGTGCATTTTTTTACGTGTGTTGTGATTTCACGATTCATTTTTTTTGTTCACAGGGGATTCGTTTTCGAGCACGCTCCACGGGCTTTAAAAAATTAAAAAATAAGAGAACCTATAGCCAACTTTCATTTTGTTTTGTGTGCAGTGGGGAAGGGTAGACCCTCTGTCGGGAACACATCCATCACGGTCTGTGCTCCTGTTGGTGATGGTCACTAGAACCTAAAATTTGGAAAACCTTCTTTTTGGGCACACAGACAGCAATCGAAACCTGATAGAGGTTCCAATCCTTCTGCACTCTACCTGGACAAAAACATTTTGGCTGGAGTTTCACTTAAATACTCCAAATGAGCTGCTAACCTTCTTTCACGCTGCCTGATTGTGTCTGGCTTCACTGCTTCCTGAATCACAGATGTGGAGCAAACACACAGCCAGTGAAGTCCAAATTCAGTCCTAAATTACGTTGTAGTATTATTTAAATGTTTATTGGTCCTTGTATTTAGTTCTACTTACTGTACCTAAGCTTGAAACTTCAACATGTATCAGAGGTCCCCTTACCTCTGACCGTCGCTGATATGTCAACTCCCTAACCTCACATACTATTTTCCAGCCTTTGAGTGCACAGTCAGTAAAGTTGGGAAGTTGACATGGCAGAAACTGATAGACTTCAATCATGGGATGAAGCTTACAAAACTCCTAACTCTTTATGGCTGAATTGAGTGGCTGGGGAGTCTGTGCAGCTGGGCAGAACGGATTAAAGTGGACCTGTTGTTCTGCCCCGCATGAGCAACGCACAGGTTTACTTTAAATAAAAGCAGACTGCAGAAATGTATAAGTTCTTCTGCACTCCATCTTGCTGTCTGTAAGAGACTACCATAGTTCAGAAACAGATGATCAAATGATTTTTCTCCGTGTTTTGTTTTCAGGAGAAAAGCCACACAAGTGCCAGGTCTGCGGAAAAGCATTCAGTCAGAGCTCCAACCTCATCACGCACAGCCGCAAGCACACAGGTTTCAAACCTTTCACCTGTGACCTGTGCGGTAAAGGCTTTCAGCGCAAAGTAGACCTTCGCAGACACAGAGAGAACCAGCACGGATTAAAATGACTGTGAACAGAAGTTCTTATCTTTGTATTCAGGGACTGTTCGTCCCCAGTTGATGTTTTATATGTGGTCAGATGCTGAGGGGTTTAATCAGCCAATTCTCGCTTATATTTTTTGGGAAACCCAGCAGTGGCATCTCTGCAGCTAGGTTCTCAGCTCCTCCCAACAGGTCTCTTAATGTGTGGGGGGGCTCTCACACCCCCTTTCTGGATTTTCCATCTAGTAAAAGTGTAACTTGCCAGAACTTATTTCTTCATAAGGAAGTTGTATATGCTCTTCCAGGTTTCCACTGGGGAGAGTTCTCTCCACTTCCTGTCTCACATATACAGGACGTAAGAGTAAAGAGCCCATTAAAATGAGCTGAAATACCCTGTTTGACAGTTGTCACCAAATTAAAAAAAAGAAATGTCCACATAGGAAAATATTTCTTCTACTTCTCTTATGTTCCCTAGCAGGGTGACAGATACTAAAGCCTCTCAGAGATTGTAACTCTATGCACAACTATAGAAAAGGGTTTGGCTGAAGTTCCACTTTATCTGTGAAGTAGAAAGAAAAACTGTTGACAGGGGTTGGCAGAGTCTGGAGCCCCATAGGAGGGGATTTAACCCATAGGTAGCCAACATATCAGTTTTGGACTGACCTTGAAATATCCACATAGTAGAAGACACTGATTTATGTCTACCACTCAAAGGTGTTGTACAGCAACCCATGGCTACCAGTCAGAAACCTTCCTATCAGTGTGCCCATTCTTACACGATGAAAGCTTTAGTATGATTGGCTGTTGGGAGTTGCTGCACATCATTAATGTTTGGCTTCTATATTTTCACTAAACAGAAACAAGTATACTGACAAGAAATCATGACTCTTCTCCAGCTAATTGCTCTACTGTACATTAGTGAATTAAGCATGGAAGCTAAATAAAGCTAAGCAAGCAGCAATTGTATCAGTCATCATTTACAAGCGATAGTGGAATGACTGGTAGAGGGACCCCTAAGGATTGAATTGAGGTTTATTGAGCTTCTCCTCTCCCCCACTGAGAACAAGCACTGCATGCTGGGGTTAAAGGGAGAAGGTCAAATTACCCCTCACACTTGGAAGCACCAGGTATTAGCAAGGGCTCTAAAAAATGTATAGCAATAGGGAAGTATGGCATAGGTATCAGTGGGTGGGTGGGGTGTTTGTTATTAAAAAGGCCTTACCCTGAATGGACAAAGTGACAGTTTCCTTTTAAAGTCTAGCACATGTAAATGACAAGCTGGCTTGCTGAAAAATAAGTTTCAATAACATGTGCAAGAGGTGTGGGCGCTTATCAGAATTGAGGACATCTAAGATAAGCGTGGTATTGCCAAAGAGAGACATTTCCTACAGCTGTTTCCTGTTCAGTCTTCCCATCGAAAGATACTACCAGCTATTATTTCTCTCCTTTTAGGGACAATCTTCTCTTTTTATTTTATGTTGGGGCAGTCAGGCATGGCACCAGTGTGTCCTCTGCCAAGGACTCTGGGCACCATTTTGGGAAAGTTCTCTTGAGTTTAGGATTGGCCATCTTTGAGATAGTTATATGTATAGTGTGTCATTGTGGGGAAGCCTGCAGTGTGAGAAGTATAGGAATGGACAGGTAGCTTGTGAGGGAAAGATAGGTTAGATTAGTTTTGATAGGTTAGATTAGAGACAGGTTCCTTACAAGGAGGGATAGTTTAGGGACATTCTTGGGTACCCTTTGAGACTGCCTGGCATCCATAGAAAGTACGCTTGCAGGTATTCCAGCTAATTAGTCTGGGGCATTTCTGCCCACTGCTCTGCTAGGACAGTATCTCTTTGGGCAGGTCACCTCTAAGAAGTCTCATGGGTACATGTTTAAGGAAGCACATCTCAAACACCCTCCTGTATGTAAGCACTGCATTCTTGAACTGCCTTGTGATTGATGTGCATAATGTGATAAGTGCCTAACATTGTACAGAGTTAAACTTTGGAAATAACACACTGTGGTAGCTGTTTAATACTTGTTGAATACTTGTTAAATAAAAAAAACATTTAAAGGAGAAATTGTGCCACCTGTTTCCAATAAATCACTGCCACACGGTTAGCTCCACCCACAGGTTGCTACCTAAATCGAGTCCCAATCTTCTGGTAATGCTGTTATGTGGAGGTCTTGCTCCCACTTAGCATTGCTAGAAAGAAGAGATGTGGTTAGGGTCTTAGTATTTAGGAATATAATCTTGATATCAAGTCATGTTAATGGGTCATGTCCAGACTTCTGTTCAAAAAGTGCAAGGACTATTCACATACAGTGGTGTAACTAGCGTCAGACACCTGATACCATCTCTTTCTGGATGCCCCGGGTCATGACACCATGATTGCTCGCCATTGTTTTCTTAAAATTAGGCTGGCTGGCTGCTTCTTCAGCACCACCTCCGCCACAGCTGTCTTTTCCCCGCTGTCAAAGAACAAGAGTCCTATACAAGGATACTTTCTGTTCCAGTTTTGCATATGGCCACGTCCACCCGCCACTGCCCGTAGAAAAAAAATTACATTGGGTTTCTAACATTTAAAAAATACAAATACAAATTTGGCAAGGAACTATGCACACCTTTCCTACTTCCTCTGAAGCATGCCAACACATAGGATTTGAACTCAGAACCACTGCCTGAGATGCATGTACTAACTCCCAAAAATAAGGGCCCTATCAAGCATAGAAACCAGCACACATTCTACAACTTTGATGAAAACCCACAAAGGTGCCTAAGTAAAAAAAAAATCCTATAAGAGAGGGAAGTCATTTCTTTAAAGAAAGATACACTGACTGTAGAATAAAAATTACATTGGATTTCTAAAGTTTAAAAAAAGAAATAAACATTGTCAAGGGACTTTGTACAAGTTTCCTTGTTCCTTTTGAAGTATGCCACAGATGGGATTTAAAAACAGCACCACATGCTAACACAACACTATTGGGTTTGCATTGCATTGGGTTTCAACGGTTTAAAAGCCCCCTCCAGATATTGGAGCAGTTTCAGGAAATTAGGGCCTTATCAGACATAGAAACTGGTAACATTAAGTACTGCTGGATGAAAACTCCCAAAAGGATGTCAGTAAAAAAGAAGAAATCTGTAAAAGGGTGAAATAACTTATTTGAAGATAGATCTCTTGTCTGTAGATTAGAATAAAAATTGCATTTGGGTTCTGAACATTTAAAAAATAAATATTAATAATGCTGACCAGGTGCTTTCGGCAACAGCCGCACTTCTTACTTTACATTAAACAGCCTTAAATCAAAGATAGATTAAAGATAATAAAAAATAGATAGATTAAAAATGAAGGCCTTATTGGGTATAGTTTTTTTTCTGTAGCTATAAATATAAAATAAGCAATTTGAGCATCTGCAGTGCGCAATATCACTACTTCAAGCTAAACATACCCCACATGGGATTTACACTCCTGGCCTTACGTTTGCACAACTGGTAATTTACCAATTGAGCCACCACCAGATCTGATTGATATGGCCCTTTTATTTTTAGGGCAGCTTGATAGCAGCCCAAGTGGTGGCACAGTGGGTAAAGCGCCAGTTGTGCGTTTGAATCTTGCATGCACAACTTGGGGAATGGATATCAGATGTGCTTGAGTGAAAAAACCGTATCAGACAAGACCAATGTGATGGGTAGAGGGAAGCTGGTTGGACGGTGGCCACAGTGGAAAAGTGGGGCATTGTGTGGGATTTAAAGGCAAACATGGGGACTGAGAGAGATACCGCATTAGAGATAAAGGAGCTGGCTTAGGTTAAGGTAATTAGGCCTGGGGATGAGGGTTAAGACAAACATAAGGCTGTGGTATGGAATACAGCATTTGACACAGGAATGTCAGGTTCTTAGGATAAGGGGTGGGGGAAAGCTGTACCAGACCAAGAAAATGACTGGAAAAGGGAGCTAATTAGCAGGTGGGAGCAGGAGAACGGTAGCATTGGCTGAGGGGTAGGCAAACATGAGGCTGTGGAGCTGGGTGGCTGTTAAGGAAAGGAGGGCTAGTTGACAGGTGGGGAGATAAGGAGGCTTTGATAAGAAAGAAGGTGACCAGAAAAAGAAGCTAGATGGCAAGTGGGTGCATTGTCAGAGGTGGCGGTAAGGTGCCTTAAGGCAGCGTTTTTCAACCACTGTGCCGCGGCACACTAGTGTGCCGTGAGATATTTTCTGGTGTGCCGTCAATAAATCGTTCATTTCTTTGATCGATCAAAATTATTTTGATCGATCAAAGTTACTCACCTACCTTAAGGTGACACTAAACTCAGGAATTAAATCTGCAAGTCTTTTGGAAAGTAGCCACCGCTCCAAGCTCACTCCCGTGATAGACTACAATGCCACGTTTAGTTTACTAATTTGTAGTGAGATTGTAGCCCATCACGGGAAGCGAGCTTGGAGCGGTGGCTACTTTACAACACACAAATCAACCATGGGGAACAAAAGTAGCCACCCTCCAGAAGGAAGGACAGTGTCAGCACCAATTCAGAGATGATGGGACATACCACGCTGAAGATGCAGAGGCTGGATGATAGGTGAGTGTGGTGGAAGGTGGTGCATTGTCCAAGGGGTTGTGTGAGGTGACTTGGGTAAAGAATTGAGGGTGGTTTAGAGGGAAAGCAGTATAAGACTAAGAGTGACATGGAAAAGGTAAACTGCATAATAGGTGCAGTATAAGGGAGGTGAAGTCAAACATAGGGCTGTGGCGGGGATCATGGGGGGGACAGTATGCTTGGTGTACAGCATTGGCAGGGGTTGCAGGATGACCCTGTGTCACTCTTTGTATGGGGGCTGGGGGCTGCAGGGCATGGGAGGTAAAGGATCAGGGGATATCTGACTGCTGAAAGAGGTGCTCCCCTCACTAAGTCACCCTGGGTAGCCAAACATTTGTCAAGGTGCTTTGGGCAAAGTATAAAGGTCCAACATAGCATGCTGCACATGGGATTCAAACTCATAAACACCCATTTACTCAACAACCCCTCTACACACTGCACC